GCAGTAATCCTTGTCTTATTGAAAAGTTATACGTAATTTTTCTGAAATTTCTATGGTGAGAATGGCGGCAGAGCGAGCTCTTGAATACATAGAGCTCTATGGCGCGAGTTACTGAAGACGGGCGAAAATGGGCCCTATGCTCCCATTGGAACTAGTCTCAGAAAATCACATAACTTTTGCATAAGAAAACGGCTAGTGCTAAAACTTTGTCGTCTGGTTCGGACCTTTGTCGCTTTATTTTTGCAGAGAATGAGCGTTTGACGATACATAGTTTGCTTTCCCAGGTAAAAAAAAAAGAAAACAAAAACAGTTTTGTTTTTATTATTTTAGTGGGTGGCATGTTTTAGTTCTTAAAATAAGGAAACCATGTGTTTTTTTTTGTTTTTTTTTCGGCCCCGGGTAAATAAACTATGCATTGCAAACAGCTGAAACACCGTGAGAACGTGATAGCGGTTAGGAGAGAACGCGGAAGTTTGAGAACACGACGTTACCTGGATGAAAACATAAATGAGAAAGACGAAAATTTTCTCTAAGACGACGTCCTACTAAGCCTAACATCGCCAAAACAAAAAGTAACACTCTAGGCTCCTGTAGTCTCTATTTTAGTAAGAAAAAAGTAAGGAAGAAAGAAAACGATATGCTTTTTGTTGCTAACAAGTGTTCTTCACTGATATAAATCCGTCAAGCGTTCACAATGTCAGTTCTCGTTTTGACGATATTGGGCTTGGGTAAACTTCTACTCAAAAACAAAATTCGTGTCTCTCAATTTTTTTTTAATCCAGGTAACGTTACGTTTTTAAGCTTTCGCGTCCATCTATCTCAAACGCTAACGTCACATTGTCACGGAATTGGAGCTTTCTGCGATACATAATTTATTTACACGGTCAAAATTCAAGGCTCTTTCTTGTCAAAAACTTCCTCATTTCGCTCTCCAGTGGCACTGTTCTAGCGTGGGGAGCTACAGGTCAATACTTCTGCTTTATATGTTGTGCATTCACTAGATCCTGACAAAGTTGCGTTAAGCTCCCCATATGGTCGCCATTTTGATTCATGGTGGGAGCAGTGTTTCCTTGACTTCTTCGTTCTTGGTTAGCCGACTCGAAATCGGGGTAACGGGTTCTTTATAAAGACATTTCTTGTATACCATTTCTGCACTCTTCGAAGTAATCCGATGCAATGTTTATAGATTTTCAAAAGCTTTTGACCGTCTTCCTCATACCCAGATTAATATCCAACCCTTTCCCCTCTAAACGTGAATATAAACTAATCTGCAGGATTATGTGCATTTTTGTTTTGTCTAATCGCACCCAATTTGTGAACTTCGATAATACCACTTCCTCTTTATTGGACGTCATCTCTGGCGTCATTCAGGCTTCAGCTCTTCGCCCTCTCCATTTTCTAGTTTATGTAAACGATGTTGCTTCTTCTTTATCCTTTTCCGTAAGACTACACTGACGACATTAAGCTCCATTGCTAAGTTCCTTTCATTGAGGATTGTTGAATATTACAAGATCTATGAAAACAAACGATTTGGTGTGACTCTTGACTCACGACGATTAACGAGGATTAAACTAAAATAATGTTATTTTCCAAATAAAAAATAAAGTCTGTTTTACATATACTATTTTATCTCGCGAGCTCGAACAGGTGGCCACATTTAAATACTTAGGAGTGTACCTCGAACAACATTTATCATGGAAGTGTCGCGTTAACTACATCTGCTCTAAATCTAAAAAAAAAACATTGGGATATTTAAGAAAATATCTCTAACTCGTTGACTCATATGTCAACCATTTTCCCCTTACCACGTTAGCATCGATCATATAAAACCCTTAGCAAATATACTTGATTAACCAACTCAATGTTTTCCAGAACCATGCAGCCAGTTTTATTACTCGCGATGATTCCTGAAATACTGATTTTTCTTTAAAGGAGTCCATGTCTGTCCAAACTCTCGACACTCGCAGAAACATAGACCGGCTCTCCTTCATGCACAAACTGTACTATGACCCATGCTCACCTAGAACATTTATTTTTCCAGCCCATTATACTTCATCTCGCCTAGATCATCCTTGTAAAGTTGAAGCCATTTTTGTTTCCAGAACTAACGCCTACAAATACTCACCGCTCCCACTATGCATTTCTGATTAGAAGCGTCTGCCCTCTAGCTTGTTGAAAACAACTGATAACGATTTCACGCAAGGTGTTGCTCACTAGATTGAATAATGTCAGTATAAAGATGCCTTTTTCTTCATGTCCTCATTCGTTCTTTACCCAATTTTATTATGAAACATGTGAATTTGAGATGCCCCCTTATGTAATGCCCTTTTTAGAGGCCTTTAAGGTAATAAAATGAAATGAAATCAAACTCGTATACGTGCCGTCCGCCGGATGTCGAGCCCGACGCTCCCAGTACTTGACTAATATTGTGCCAGTAGGCTACTGCCCGAGTTTCGAAACAATATTCGCCAGATGTCGGGGCGATGGGAAGACTGGGATATTCGACATATATTGTGAACAATAATTTACCAACAATAGCTGAATATTGTTGCGCTGCTTGTGTCGGCTTATATTTGTCATTATAAATTTATTTGTGGTTTACTCGTGTCTTTTTTTTTTTCTACGGGCCCTTTGTTAATTTTGCTTCCCCCTCATTAATGCAGAAAAATGTCAGTTTCAAGTTAAAGGGACCATGAAGACAATTTCGAACACCTTTTTGGCGATTGAACTTTGTTTCAGGCACGTCTCAAGTCACGTTGCCCAAATTTCAGCCGAAACCGGCGCTTGTGTGCCGCGCAAATCAATTAAACAGTCGCGGTAGTAATCGTACCGGGATCGACTGGGGCGACGCCGCGAGAGTTGCGACAGAAGCCAGGAGAAGCGGAGCTCACGTGACCGATGTGGGGCCAAGAAGCGCGACGTCACAAGAGACGCGTCAGCGATTGGTCGAAACGAGAGACGTGCCCTCGGTCACGTTTTGGTTCGTGATTCTTAAAAATACTGTTCTAATTTCCGCTTGAATAACCGTGAAAATTATAAACCGGACCGGAAATGAGTACTAAACCGTAAATAAAGAAGCATAATTGTTTTTTTGTTTTTTTTTCTTTGCTACGCTGGACGCGAAACGGCCAACGGGCAACTATGGGCACTTCGGCATGCGGGCCGCTCGTTATCGGTTGCCAGCTGGGCGGTCTCCGTCGAGTGATGGCGGAGGCCGCCACGCACGTACTCCCGTTCCGTTTATGTTGGTTCGCTGAACGGAAGCACGAAATCGCTCGCGAGAGCGGCATTGTCGTCCATGTTGACAGATTCGACGAAACGACCGCGCCACCGCGCCACCGCGCTGCTATAACCCACCGCGGTAACCAGAGTCTCGATCTCTTATATACGACCGATACCGACTATTCACACTTGACGTCACTCCCTACGTCAAACTCCGTTTTCGGAGGCCCAGAAACGAGAATGGAGATTGTTCAGTTTCGGTTTTTTTACTTCTTTCGTAGGCACAGAAATCCTCGTCACAAATGTCTACAAAAAATTGGGCACCATGCTATGTTCCCAAGCAGCATATAACACCATTTAAAAATATTAAATAAAATCGTCTTCATTGTCCCTTTAACGCATGATATATACCCCTACTACCTTGTCTTTGCGAGTTGCGCTGTTACTCTGTCAAAAAAACAGCGGTGTTTAGAACTTGAACAGGCAACGTATTCAAGTTCTATATACAGCCATTAGCGAAAGAGGAAGAACGCAAATGAGAAGGAACGAGGACGAGTCGAAGAACTGGTGCGTATTGGCTTAGTATTGACGTTCTTATGCACTAATAAAGAAAATCTTAAGTCACACTCGATTGTCTGATTTGTGTTATAAATGTGGCTGTAAAAAACTAATCAGATTATATTATCGTAATTCAATTCGGCCATGATCGTAAGATATAATTAAATAATACATTTACGAGTGCTCTTTTTTGCTTTGGGATTTCCAATGAACTGGGTAGGCCGAACAAGAGCGATGAAAAACAATTTAATGTAGTTAAAATGTTGATACACACGTTAGTTACTTCACCAAATGATCACTGCAGAGATTACGCAGTTATTATGACGTGGCAAAAGCTATTGGATGCTCTTCCCAAAAAAACGTTGCCGTCTGGGTTCTCAATTATTTCATCCCGAGTTCAATAAGACTGACAGTCGCCATACGTTCTTTCCTGAATCCCATCATCAAAGACGTCTGATCGACCTTCCCGAAGTTTCAAGTACTTTCCTCTATACACGAATACGTTTGTTTTGAGTAACGGTCGTGCTGACGGATGATAGAAGGACTATGAACCCCGGCTGCAACCCATTTTTGGGGAGTGCGCCCGAAAGCCTGTGCGTCCTCCTAATAATTTGTGCGGTGTTTCTGTGAAGAAGTAGCTAGAGAACGTATCAACCTAATGTATATATGAAAATTCTTTTTGTCAATTTATTTATTTTTATCCAGTCGTCGGAAATTAAACACGACATCCCTCACAGTCTGTTGTTTAGAAATTTGGAAGTTAAACAATTTTAAGTTAGACAATGAATTTGGTGTAGAGAACTGGCAGCTCGATATCTTTAAACAGGCGTCTCGTGTTTTATTGCGGTGGTTAAGGATTCCGCCAGTGAAATATTCTTGCTAACTACATGCGAGTTGTGGAAACCTTCAAATGGGCACTTAATAAAACGCGATCCGAGAGTCCCGAAAACGGGCAATAAAAATACACTTGGGCATCTAACGATCGCATCGCATGCTAGAAAACAAAAAGACCACACTGCTCGCTTAATATGCGCCTAACATTCTTGCGGTTGTTAACACAATTTTATTTATAAATAATAACATCGAGCGTTGCAGTGGTTAAAGTTGAAAGTGATAACTTGAAACCATTTAACATGTGGTCGTATTAACGCAGGAGACCACAGACGCAAACAACGAGTTTGAATAGGAAGTCTCCGTAAACATGTTCATAAGTCGAACATATGACCAACGCCTTTAGGCGTGTCAAGGTGGTCAGCTTACTGAGAGAAAAAGGAATGCACAACTACACCCGATAAAAAATGTTTACGTAGGAAGACATTCATTCCCTTTCCAGTAGCCCGTGTGCCTTCCTTCTGCGTACCTTTGGTATAAATACGATCGCAGTTCTAATTTTTTCACCAGTTCCAACTGCTTCAGCTGAACTTGCACTCAGAATCATGGTAGGAATGGTTGTTCCGGGTCTCTAGCTTGGACGCTTGTCTTCAATGATCTAGTGGTACTAAAGAATTAATGAGACTGCAGGGTTAAACTAGAGGGCGAGCGTCGGACTTCACGAAGCTCTATCGTTAAACATTGTTAATTTCGAGAATCGTAAACAAATTCTTTCTCAGAGAGTTTATTGGTTACTCCGTAAGTTTGTATCTTCAGTAAAAAAAAATATTTAGAGAAAAAAAGCTTCCTATTATTGGAACTTTTTTTTTCAAATTCTTTGCTCGTTAAATCTCTTTTCCAGCTTCGTGTCTGCATCGTCATCGCCCTGGCCACGAGCGCCTTCGCTGGCTACCTCCACAACGGCTACGGCTACGGCCATGGAGTCACCTACTCCGGACTGACTGGATACGGCTACGCTCCCGCCGTCAGGTCCTTCGCCAGCTCTTACCACGCTGCTCCAATCGCCAGGGTCGCCACCTACCACGCTGCTCCAGCTGTTGCTGCTTTCGCCGCTCCAGCCGTGACCGGAAGCTCCACCCACACCGTGTCCACCTACCACACCGCTCCGACCGTGGCCACCTACACCACCTCTCCCGCCGTCGCCAAGGTGGCGGCCTACCACGCTGCTCCGGCCCTGGCCACATTCGCCCATGCTCCGGCTTATGGCTATGGCTATGGCCTCGGTCACTACGGCTATGGACACGGTCTTGCCAGCTACGGCCTGAACTACGGCTATGGCCTTGGTGCCTTCAACCACTACAAGACTCTTCTCCACAAATGTGAGAGTTTTGAATGTAACGAAAAATCAGTCGAAATTCAGGTCCTACCCCATAAATTTGATGTTTAGTTTTTTTTGTGTTATATATCTAGTTGTATTTCTTAGGCTGTAATGGGTACCGCGTAAAGCATTTGGAACTACTGGCGGACTCTTCAATTTTTAGTATCTCATGGTTTGTTGTATATTTTAGAAGCTGTGACCTAAAAGTCGGGTTATGTTCATATTTATAAGAAAAACAAAAAAGATTAGTGCGCTGTCTCAGCTCAAATTGTGCACGATGGTACAGCGCACAACACTGTTAGCGCGAACAAGCGATCGTCGAATTTATTTTTCTTCTACTTAGAATCAAAGCGACGCCATAATAACTTATACTATGGAGGAAAGTGCTAATTTCGGGCAGCAACCTGAATGAACGACTTTTTTGGTGCCCATCAAAACCCCTTAAAAGCGAAAGTCTCCGATGTCTTGTGCACGCCCATATTGCCCACGGTGGTATACATGCCCATTATAAGATTGTTTCAATTTCATGGACTCATGACAATGTCTTGACTTTCCGTTTCAGAGACAATCCAAGCGCCCATTGAGAAGACCGAACTATTTATTGCCATCTGTTCACCAAAACGGTAGCAAATAAATCCCGATAAAAATGCCAACCCCTTGTCGTGCTTCTTATTTATTGTAGGCAGCTCTTCTCGACAACTGAAAGACATTTTCTCCTAACAGATTTCACTCAGACAAACCTGCATTACCGAGTGGACTTACGTTTTATGTGAAGAAGTCCACAGTACCGTGGTACCAGATACGCCGGAGCTATTTTCAGCGTTCTTTGGTGTGGCGGGTGCACATTCTGGCTTTCTGACGCGACACACTTGCGCGTGTTAGCAAGCTGCTGGTTTCTGAAACTCGCAGTCTGGGAACCGATTCTTTTAAGCACATTTGATTTACCTGCACTTCCCGCACCAGTGCAGAAAAGTGTAGGGCGCTGTACTTCCGGCACATACCGGAAGTACAGTGCCTTACACATTTCTGCACCGAAGTGGGAAGTGCAGGTAAATCGAACGAGCTATTGTAACAGCGTATAGAGGCTTGACAGAAGCTGTGCATGGGCCATAACATACCTTGAGTTTTTTGTTTCCTAATATTTTGATCACTTGGCTCCACCATTACCATAGCAGGACACGTTACTGCCATTTTAAATTCGACTGTGTCCTTCTTCCCAGCATTAACCTTTCTGGAGCCTCGTCAAAGCCCGCTTCAGTGGCTTGGTACCTCGGTAAGACGAGAGAAGGTCGGCAATGGCGGCTGTTATCTGGCGCCTGTGCAAAGCGTCTGTTATGCACGGCTGAGAATTTAAATAAAACACGCGCAGTTGAAGTTCCCTAATCGGTTCTCCTGTAATATCATCGAGTGTTTACCAATCGCATGTGGGTGTCTGGCCAACATATTGTAGAAGCTAAAGGCTGCGTGCCCGCTCCGTGTCGTCAGTGTAGCCAGACAAGGAACCGGAAAAGCGATAGTCGGCGGGGCGCTGGTATCTGCTCTTTCGCGCGCTGTAGCTTCGATTGCAAATATTATATGAATGTCACATGCCCGTGCGTGATGCACGAGGTAATTAATTGAATTACAGTTTTGATAATTAGAAGTTTATATAAAAGTCTAACCTTTAGGGTTTACTATGAAGTTACTACGAATGAAAGGTCGTGTAGTAGTGACTGCACCCTTTCCACAGTTATCTAACTTGACATCTTTAAAGGACAACTCCGCTCAATTCCGAAAAATTTAGGCTTACATGTGATTCAAATTCACAAAGCACTACTAGACAACTCTACGTCTTCGGATTCGCAAATTGTGAAATATTATATGTGTAATCGTAATTTAAACATCAGCTGATACCGACACCGAAACTTCGGTTGCGTCAGGCAGCATTGGTTTCGGGTCGTCAGAGTCATGGCCACGTCACGTCGAACCACGTGGTCTTGTGACGTTCGGGAGGGAGCGAGGGACAGGACACGCGACGCGAGCAGGTCGCTTCGCATGGCGTGGACGGTGATGGCCCGGGGGCGAGGGGGAAGGGGAGAAGACGAAAGAGAAGGGGAGCGGAGAAACAGACCGATAAGCGCGCAGGGCAGCGCAAACTAGCGCATCCACGTTACGGTGCTCACGTGAACGCCCGGTCAGCCAACACCGCGAGGAGAAACTCTTGACGTCATCGTTCAATTTCGCTCTGAGAAGTAAAAACAAACAAACGTAAAAATGACGTAGTCATGCCTCTGACGTAGTGGCTCAACGTTTGCCGCTCAAACTCCGTCGCATTGACTGCGCTGACGATTGCGCCTCCGCTAGAGTTGGCAGATTTCGGCGACTTGGCTCACTTGAAGGTTTGCTGGCCAGTTTATTAAATATATAAACGGAATTAGATCGTAATATTTGACATGGGGTCTTCCTATATGATACTGAAGAGGGCTACATAGTTTTCTAAACATCAAAAGTGAAACAGAGTTGCCCTTTAATAAACACCAATGTACTGCTCTGCAATCTCAAATATTTTTATTTGAAATATATTTTTGACGTCCATCATTACCAGACAACTAGCCAACGTCCATCATTACCAGACAATATGTGAAATTATATTTTATAACTCGTGCCTTCTAGCTGGTTTCCTGAGAGATCAAATAAAATAAACCAGATGCTCTCTACATTCTACCAGAAACAGTATAACCATTTTTGTATTAAAAAAAAACACGAAAATAAGCAAAGGTGAGCTACTTAACAGGTCGTTTTTTTTTTTTTTTTAGAAAAGTACTTTTAAGAGAGGGAAACATGTTGGAAGGCCATGATGTAATAAAATGAACGCGACATAATGTATATTTTGACTCATAAGACCACTTCCTTTTTGCCTCTTTTTTTTGTTTTTAGTATGTCTGTCTACAGAGATGTCGGTGTTACTTCACAATTAACATTATTTCTTTAACAACGCAATATTTTTTATTACGCAGACAGTCACTCTTTTGGCTGGAGCATACCTTGCATCCTGCTCTAAGTCATAATTTCCCCGCTTGCAGGTATTCTTGAAAAGTACGTTAGTCAACAAGGGGAGGATGAGTTTAAACACTGCTTGAGGTGTGTGGCCGCTTGCCACATGCATCCAACTATTCGAACCACGGCAGCGTAGTTAGTATTAGGTCACTGACAGCTTTTCGTTGGTCGCGCAGCCGCAAAAACTGAGCGATGTACTGGGATGACATAAGCATGTTTAAAACAACTTCAGCGTGCGTCACCACACTGACAACCAGCTGTGTTGGAAGCCGCCTCGCTGGCTCCGAGGCAACGTTAATGGAACAACTCAGTCGGGAAACTGCCATAGAGCCTGCTCTGAAAAAGCGGCACCGATCCGTACTCGAAAACCGAACTAATGGCGATTGCAACACCGCTAGTTCTCCCGCACCGAACACTTAGGGAACAGCATTGCTGCTTGTATTGGTTGGGGAGCATCGCATGCGATAGCGTCCGCTATGACTGTTGTATTTCGGCTTTAATCAGCCATTTCGGCACCGAAATATACGCGGTGGAAAGGGTTCAGGAATGCCAACCGTCTCCAGAGCGGACGCGCCACGCTTAATCTCCAAAGTTAGGACGCACCCATGTCGCGACACGCTACCTGAAGTCACCGGTAGTACATGACTGTATAAAAACAATATTAATTGTGCCGCAAAACTCTGTAAACTAAACTTTTATTCTAATACCACGCTCTTGTCATTTTGCAGAAATCTCCAATGAAATTTCCTGCAAAAAGCGCTTTTTCCGTTTGTTTTTACGCGGAAGCGTGCTTTCTAAAAGCTCATGGTGGCCACAGTAATAATAAAAAAACATTGAGCCGCCATCTTGGCACCTCGAGCCTGGGAGTTTCGGTACTCTGGGAACATTTAGTGACTAGCAGTAGCCGTATAAAGCAACTTTCATGTTTCAACTGGTCGCTAAAGGGTGGCGCTGTTATCGTATTTAGCTCGGTCTCAGGGGATGCCAGCAGTCCCAATTTCTAGGATGAGTTTCCCAACTAAATGTTTTAGTAATGTTGCTCCAAGGCAAAGCGCCGGCTTCGAAAGCGTCTCGAGAGTGCACAGCGCGAGACCGCCGACGGAATACCGCGCGGCACGAGAGAGCAGCAACAGGAGGGCGTTCAACGTGTTTAGCACGCTTCACGAGAGCGCTATCGGGGCTGATGGATGTGATGTAGTATCGCGACCAATAGCTTTTTTTTCTTTTTTTTTAACGGGCAACAGCAGTCACATGCAGGCGAAAACTGTACGACGCGTTGAAAAGATTGCCGAATCCGACCATTGCCTCTTAAGCATCTCGGTGCGCCACTCTTTCCGGGACCATCTTTTAAGTGATGATCCTGGCCAGGATTTTTTTTTTCCTTTTTCCCGTGTCGTGACAGGGTTAGCCGATTCGGTTTATAGATGGGGCTATTGGTTTGTAACTGTCATCAAAATCTGATGATGGACATTCCTTTGGTTACTTTTGGGGCATTTTCATGCCGTTTCTTGGAATCGGGAAAAATACCTTAAATGAAATGTGGCTGGTAAAAACGTAAGGCGAGATTTTCACAGTTGTTGCAAGCAGTTTCTAAAAAAACGCACACACACAAGATTGTCCCAACAATTGCGTTGAGTCTTCAGAACATGCCCTCTTGAATGTTGCCTTCTTTATTGAGTAAGAACCACTTAGACAGCTGTATAGTTGCGAATATCATCCTCGAGAAACTTTCTACGGCGCGCACATGCGCTTCCCTGACGCGCGCTTAACTGGTTGCCCGCTCTCGTGTCGCGCGCTCTCATAGCACGCGCTCTCGTGTAGCAGAGCTCTCTTGTCGCGCGCTCTCCTGTCGGCCCTCTCACGGATTCCCAGGTGGCGGGTTCAAATCCCGGCTGAGGTACACGCAATCCGACGGAGGCTTGTTGCGAAGAAGGCGCCCTGCAGCCAATATTTTGGTTTCATCTCAAAAAATCCCCGCGTGGTCGGAATTACACAACATATGTTCGTTAAAGGTTACGCCAGGTAACTTCCAA